GTTGCCTTCAGGTAAATCAATCCCACTATGTACTGTCAAAAGAAGGGAATACTCCCCCTGCTATTTAGATGAGGAAACTGAGAAATTGTGCAGCTTCTCCGAATAATGGAGTGAGAGCTACAAAACCAGTAGCCAGATCCAGGTTTCCTGAGCTTCCATGAATGTTCTCCATTCACAGCACATACAACAGAGGGGCAAAATGCTTTTACTTACGAGGATGCATTTGAGACTAATCATAAGAAAGTGAACGGGTATGGTGCTCTGACTCGGGTTGTCAATGCAGAAGATGATGTATGCAGCCAGTCACAGGCTTCATCCAGGTAAGTATGTGTTAAGGAAACAGGATTCTTAAGTCTCTATTTTCATGCTTTCTGGATATTTCTTCTTTCTCAAGTATCCGCCTTTATAATCAACAGCTTATGATTTAATCAGATTTCATTTACTGTTATTTATACACGTATAGTCTTAATTGTAGCATCACCTCTTACTTTCTTTGGCCATTTTGTCTATTCACACGAAGCAGTGAGCAGAGACAAACACGTCAGCCTTGCTGCACAGTCCTATGGCCAATCCTATACACTAGCAACTTACATCCAACCTTTATACTACAGAAAATGTATCCTGGAAACACGGGTGAAAACAAGACAGCTTAAATATCTCTAAGTAATCTGCTCAAAAGACAATATAGCACAGTAAGGTATATTAAAAACATTCTTTCTATATTAAAAAAAATGATCTGGTGCCATGGAGAAAGTTGTTCGTTAAACCAGAGAAGGTGGGAATAAGTGCGAGCATTTGAAATGGGAGGCCTGTTGCAGTGTGACATGCCCCATTGTACAACACATCCCCCTGCCTTTTGAAAAGCTATGTCATACCAAACCATTTTAAGGGGAAGCAAGAAGAGAACGTGCTCCTGTGGCTTGTTAGAGCAGCACTCTGAAGCCAAGTGCTTCGAAGAACATCATTCCTGCCAACTAAGCAGAGACAATACTTCCACAGCAGAGACACCAGAGCAGCATGTCAAAAACACCGCCCTCTAGTACAAAGGGTTTTGCAGGGGATGAATGAAAGGGTTGTCCTGTGGATCCTGGTGGTCCAGTGGGAAAGCAGAAAAACAACTTTTGGGTGATGCTCTCACTGTGCTGACACTTCAGCTCAATCTCCTCTGAACACAAGGCAGACCCTCGATCTGCTTTTCTGCCAACCTTATTTGCCCTGACCCCATATTCCACTGTAAGGAGTACAGTGGGAACCTGAGGAGCTGGTTCTGCAGTTGTAGTGTCCCAAAGCAGGTGTAGCTAGCCTGCAGCTACACCCCACCTCATTTCTTCCTAGCAAGACCAATCCACTTGCACACCGCCTATACTGCAAAGAGAAACACGATCTGGTAGGTTGCTGATGACTGCTTACTGCAAAATACTGAGAATAAGGATAGGATTAAGCAAAGGATGAAAGAAAAAAAAAAAAAAAAAAAGACTGTTTTAAGGTAACAGTGTATATTCTGAGTGCATTCATTTAGGATCAGTACAGCTGTCACTGTGAACATAGTCCAAAAGGAACACAGCACCATTAGTCTGTGCTATCTTTGTCTCAGCAGTGCCTTGCGTGGCTTTCCTTTGAACTAACGTGTCTACCAGAACTGAATCCCCACCAAGTACACGGACTGCATACCTTCCTGGATTTCTCATGTTGTTTGGGAAGGCTGAAAGCCTGCCTCTGTGTGTGGCAATCCATCAAATGGCCTCACTGGGTTTTCTCCAAGAGAACTTCATCAAAGCACATCTTAAATTACTTATTCTGGCATCATCTTGGGCCCAAATAAGAGCCCACATAGGGAAAGAAGCTGTAAGGGATGGGAAGGCGTGGGAACTGAAGGGAGACACATGGTGAGGGATGTCATGTGCCTAAAGAGAACCTATGGCACTGCGGCTCAGGAGATGGAGCCTGCTTGGAACAGACTGAAAGGCAGGGTGGAAGCTTGCTCGGGGTGCTCGCAGACCAACTGGGTGATCACAGGAATCCAACGGCAGCTGACAGGGTAATGTGATGAAGATGCATTGCAACTCTAGTTAACTCTGTAAATATATATAAATCCAATAGCAACTTGCAAATTATTTTAGCATTGCTTTTTCAAAAACGGGAGAAGTTGTACACCCAAACTCCAGCTATTTTCAATCGGATTAGGGGCCTTAGTTCCTTCAATTCTTGGCAATCCCTTACTAGACGACTTGCTTGGCATTTCTGTGGGAGCAGTACAAGACTCATTTATCAATTACAGGAAGCCTTCTTGCCTGCCAATCCATAATAGGCTCAGTTTTATTTTTAAAACTGCAAAGTGAAAAACTAAGTCTTGCAAACACAAAGGAAGCTAAATAATAGCTTACCCACAGGCAGTGAGGAGTGCTAAAAAGCATCAAGTGCAATTATGTCACACTCCGTACTCGCTCTTTGCACATTCATATTCTGACAGTAGACTGTAAGATCTCAGATTCAAAGCCCCATGACAAATGTCACCAACTAAATTCACAAGCTGTGGGAAAACAAAGGTCTGTATTAGAAAAAAGAATCATGTAAGGGACAGCAAATAAAACTTCCAATTTCTTAACTGCTACCTTGTGTTACTGCTGTTCAAACTCATTAAGATGTTGTGCTGTGTTTTGTTTTTTTTCTACATGCACATATATAGAAAAATATAAATATTTTTATTACACAAATATCAAGGGTTTTTTGTGACAAAGGAGAGAGAAATGCTTCTTACATCTTTGTTATTTTAGCAGATGCTTGAAGGCCCCTGTAATTATTCTGTATCTTCTATTGATTTCGCCCATTTCTAACCTGGTATTTCATTTCAGCATTGGACTTCAGAGCAAGGGGACCCCAGCTGAGTTTTACAGTACCTGTGGAGCAGGCTGATACTGCCACCTTGGGGAGGATTCTTTCCATGTACTTCAAGGAGCCTAAGCAAGTGTCATATAAATCAGTTTGACTTTTTCCATCACATCCTCCCAGGAAAAGGGCTTCTTAAAATCCCCTGCCCGTGTTGACATAAGACCTTCCAGATGTGTCCCGACTCAGACTGTGCTACATTCACAACTATACTGGAATGAAATCTCTTTTTTTTGGGCGGGGAAGAATGCTTAGCTAAGTTTTACATAGCATTTAAACAGTGCCTCGTTTACACTGCTCTTAATTTCATAGCCATTTCGCCAGTGTAAGAGCCCTGTTCTGCCTACAGCTGGGCAAGCTGTATTTTGCATACACCGCTCCACTGCTTCTGTGATTCCAGCTTTCTTGCTATTTTGAATTCCTGTCCATGCACAGCTTAAATCGTTCGCTGGCAGGCTATAGGTTCAGCTAGCTGCAACTGCTAGGACTTACGCTGTCTCAGACCTAACAAGAGGCATTACTATGCATAGGAACAGTCCAACAAAAGGTGCAGAGCTGGACTGTGACGATTTAACCAAAGGCAAGACTTCAAGGCAAATTAAAGCAAAGCATCTGGATTTTATCTTCACAACATCCAGTCTTACTGACCTACTCTTTTGCTTTTCAAGTATCGCCCCTACCCACTAGCAGATAAAGAAGCCTTGCTGTACACCTTATATATATATAAACATATGAAGAGATAAACCCTGCGCATGACTCGAGTTGTACACAATCCACACGGTGTTGACCTTCAAGACTTTTCGTGGTAGAAACGAGCAGTATGTGCCTCAGCTACTTGTACAACACAAGGAAAGATTTAACATCTCACCTTTCACCAGAACAGGCAGGCTCAAGAGCAGGGAGCTACCTATAGGTAACTGACTTGCTATGTGCTCTCAAAAACATACAGCAACAAAATTGCTGCACAGCTGTTGAAAGCCAAGCAACATAAATGATGAACTCGTGAAAGAATAACGTGAATTTACACAAGGAGGCTGTGAAAGCACCATTAGCTCCTACCTTCTGCCAAAGCACTGTCTGTGCTTGTGGCACAACAGTGGGAAATCACAAGAGGCTTCTGGAGGAACTGAAGTCTTCATCCCAGTGCTGCAAGCAAGAGCAGCCTGGTATTGGAGTAAACCAACACATCTGAGCTCCCAAATAGAGCTACATTTTGGATGACGATGTCCCTAGCAGGACTGGGCTCTGGAAAACACCCTCCTCTTTTCCTCCCACCACAGGCAGCCTACATACCACACTCTTGTTCTCAGATTTCCAGATTATTGGAGTAAACATATGCCTCCACCCAGCTGGGATTTATGGTCGGAGGGGAGGTATAGCTAAACCTTTCCCTGTGAACGGACAAGCAGACTTGCTTCACCTTTTTGTTTTGTTACCAGAATCCAGACATTAAAGCACACGTGTGGATTTACTTCCTACTATGGCACACGAGTTCAAATTAGTCGCTTACCCACTTGTAGCAAAAATAAGCAAGTGATAGGGCTTTTCTGTAAAATGATTTAACCTTTGGTTTTAATACTGTTACAGTATGGCAAAGAATGATGCTTGCAAGACAAACTTATCAAGCATAGCACATGATCAAAGCTATCTAGCTAACAGTGAATGCACGTTACTGGCACTGGTGCAAGCGTTCAGATTTCTTCCTGATTCATACGTGATTTCTGTAGTTTTATCCATTTTGGGATTATCTTAATCCATCTTTGTTAGGCAACCAGCTTTATATCTGCATTTACATGGTGCTTTGAAAATATTGTGGTTATCAATTAATTGTAAGAATAAAAGAAATTGCATATATGAACATGTATTCAAGAACATGCAACAACTGAAAATAACCCAGTACCTCCACTGCCACTGACATTATACTGCTGGTAGAACTTCAATAACTTGAAAAAATACCAACTTCATATAATCAATAAAGTGATTGCAAAATCCGCATTTGCATCTAACTTGCAAAAATTCAATGGACACTGTCAAGTACAGACCGAATGTATCCAATTGAATGAGGATCTATCAGTAATAGATTAACCAGATGAATGTGTACGTAACAGTTTCAGCATGGTACGTTGCTGTTGTTAGTTTCAAAGTTCACCTATGAACGTCTTTTTTCTCAGCACACATGGATCATGAGACAATGAAAAAAGAATTTCAGGGAATATAAGGTAAGCTACATACCACGAATTTAAACTAAGCATTTAAGTATAGACTGCATATAGGGAAAAAAAAATATCTTTGGTTATGACTGGGGGGAAAAAAAGGAATGCATGAATTTGTGTCCTCCATATCACATTGTTACGTTACGAAAAATGAATACAATACCCATCTAGATTGATGAATAACTGACGACGACCATTTCATAAGGTGTCTTTTTAAAGGGAATAGGTAGGTATTCTTAAGAAAAAAGGGAAGTGGATCATGGAAAGAATTCACAAAAAACTCACAAATAGCAAATTCTGTACGATCATATACAGTGTTTAGTGTTGTCTGTAACAAAAGTAATGTTACAGTAATAGATCTCGCATGTTTGGCTTTGTACTTAAGTTATTTCAAAAGACTGATTTGGGCATGGATTTGACATAAAGGAGAATCCCTGAACTGCATATGCAAAAATCTAAAATTAAATGCAGACAATTCCACTGAGAAGTTACCCACAGTCTGAGTACATAAATGCAGTACATTAAAAAATAAAAATAAAGAAATACAAAAACTTTAAATTCAGGTGTCACTGATAGCTTGAAATCAGCTGCTTATTTACTAATTGCTTTTCCACCTGAAACATCTCTGAATTTAACCAATATTCCTCTGAGACAATTAATGTGCATCAAACCCCTTTGGATACTGGATTACAGAAAAGAAGAAAATGAGATGGCTTATTTATGAACAGTTATACTAACTGGAAACAATACGTACTTATCTCCCCTCTCTATCCACTAGCTTACACTTTTATTTCCCACTGTGCTGTGAAAGACTGTATAGATTTCCTAAATTTCAATTTGACCTGGAGTTAGAATCTGCAGTGTTAGCTATTTCAGCCTTTCTTTCTTCACTAAGACATCCTTCCTGTATTTGTTTACCTGCATCAGAAAGCTCTTTTGAATTATTGTCTGTTACAGCTTTAGTATCAGTCTCCAGTGTGGGAAAAGTGCTCCTTTAAAAGCTACTTCTTCCATACCACCTTTTTTTTTCCCCTCTTAAAAGCACATGAAGATTTACTTCTTGAAATAGTCACCTAGTATCAGCAGCACACATTTGTCAATTCTTCCTCCCCTAATTTTCCTTCTTTTCATAAAACACTCTCCCACAACGCTGTTTTCCATGGTTGTTTCTCAGCTCCTGCTCTCCTTGTTTGTTGCCTCTCCTTAAATTTATCTGCTTTATTTCTTCCTAAAGCTCCTCAGATCTGACTCTTTCCCAGCTCCTCATTCTCCACCAGCGTAGGAGGGCAGCCCACCAAGCTACCAGGGAGTCTCGCTCTTCCTGAGCAGCAAACTGGAGGCCAAAGCCGTGTCCTTGGATCAGAGGTATGCATGTGGTGTATTGAATGTCTAGCAGTAGTAAATAGATATTTCAGGCAGGGAAGGATGCTCAAAAGACACCAAGTTTTGCCATTTTTGCTGGAGTGTTTTTAAAGTTGTCGTCTCAAACAGCTCACGTTATTTGTTCTTCACTTAATGACAGGTTTGTGGCTACAAGCATAGACAATGGCAGGCAGCAACGAGATGACAATCAACCTCGTCGTCCTTGGAAGGACTCAGACTGGCAAAAGCGCTGCTGGGAACAGCCTGCTAGGCAGTGATGACTTCGAAAGCCGGCTCTCCCCCAGCTCCGTGACTACATGTTGCAGCCTGGGCCACAGCTGCCACATTTCGGGGATCACACGGCGCAATGGCTGCGAGCTCGCCCTCCGTGTGCGGGTGCTTGACACTCCAGGCTTCCCCCACAGCAGCCTGAGCAAGGAGCGGGTGAGAGAGGCGGTGCGATCAGCCCTGGCTCAGCACTTCAGGGAGGAAGGCCTGCATCTAGCCCTTCTGGTCCTGCGGGCTGACCTGCCTCTGTGTCCCGATGAGAACGAACACACCGTTCAGTTCATCCAGGTAACAAATAAGTAAATAGGAAGAAGCCTCTGCCCACAATGGGGGCTCTTTGTCTGTGGTTGAAAATAGCTATGGAGTTCACTGCAGAAGCAAGTTAGAGAAGTGCAGCTGAAAATGGGAACATTTTCCTATCCACTGTTTGAAATATACACCGTGCCCAACTCCAAAACTGTAAACCAGAGCTACACTTACCACACTAAACCGAGAAGAGAGCTAACAACTGCTGTCTGCTGTACTTGGACTCAGCACAACAGGATTTAGGAATTAAATTTACCCATCAAAGCAAGCTTCTCTCTCAGAAATGAGTTAAAGGTTTACTATGACAGATCTAGCTTGTTAAAGAGATTATACGAAGCAAAGGTCTGGTTACCTTACTCTTCTGCGCTCTGTATAGGATACAACACAGCCCGAAGCAGAATATGACAGGTCCAAAGTCATGCAGGAAATCTGACTGACCTAGGGTAAGGATGCTCAGCTCTGTCCTGCACTGTTATTACTGCTGTGTCTGTTCAAGAGAGAATAACTAGACAGTTCCCCTAAATTTACGCTAGGTAATGACAATTTCTAGCGTAACGGGCTCGAAGCAAATATTTTGCATCTCTCCTCTGGGGGAAATTTTTTTTGGAAGTAGGTAAGAAAAGTGGGAGGGAGAGACACTGAAATGGGATGGCTTTCTTTTCTGTGGAAATGTTTTCATTACCATGCAAATACTTCATTGAAAAGGAGACCAAAGGGTCTCCAAAGAGGTTTGTTTATACGAGTTACAAAAAAAACAAGGCTTTCAACCATTGTTAAAGTCTGTGTATTACACTTCACATCCATCTTACACAAATAACTTTCTAAAAACCTTTAAGACTGAAAGGGACTTCCTGGCGCATCAAGTACTATCACCTGCAGTAATGACATTACCTAAAAAAATATAGATATATATACACACACCAGTTCAAGTTGTTCTGACTTTCCTCACGATTACTCTGTACTGCTAGGCTACTCCTCATTTTCCCAGTAGTTTGAGTTAGTTGTTAAGTTTTCACAGCACTTTTCCTCATTGCCAGATGACATATATATTTGTTCTCAGCATTACCTTTTTTCTTTATTCAGTTCTCCCATGCCTCTATACTTCAAGATACGTAAGAGGACTCGATATTTTTTGCTAATATTTTTACCCTAAGCATGGATCAAGTCCATGTGGGCATTAAAAGTTTAAGGGATGCCAGGATACCCTTCTCCTTTAATGAAGCTACAAAAACCCCCACTGGAGATGAAATAAAGCATGTTAAAAAAGTGAGAAAACAACACTTAATTCTGTTTTGTGATTGTAACTGACTCTCAGCTTATTTTAGTTATTAACCCCTTAAAACACTAGGTGCTATGGTTTCATCAGCCACTAACAAATAGGGCAGGACAGCTGTCTGAGCGCTGGGAATACAACAATTGTTATATTTCAGTGTGTCATTGCATAATAAATTACCATAAGGACTACCTTTAGCATTCAGTTCTCACAATAATCCCCTGCATATTAAGGACGATATATCAGTAATTCATATAAAAGACTATTATTACTTAAATCTCTTTCGATTTCTATTTTAATAGTCTAATGAATTCAGAATTAATGTTAGCACCAATTCATCTGAGTACACAGAAAATCAAGGCACTACTCTCTCTCCCTAAAACCTATACCTCAACTCTTCCTAAGAGAACTTATACCAAAATACAGTAAACATCTAATCTGCAAGAGTTTAAAAAAACAGCTTATTTTCTAAATTCCCCACCATCAGATGAACCACTGCAGATAAAGACAAACTCCCCAGCTGTCATTTAAGTTGATGCATTTGATTTGTGTTTTTCCTGAATTGCTGGAACAGTTCAGTTTTAGGGGATAAAGCTGTTACTGAAATTAGCGTTATAGAAAAATGTGTTATTTATTTATTCTATGTAAGGTGATTTGTAAAAGCTTTCCCAAAGAGCTTCTATAAATAGAAATATAAATATGTAGAAACAATAAACTACTTGAATTTTACATGTTATGCTGATATGTGCTGTAGCTAACAACCATTTTCCTTATTTACACACACACACATATATGTATATATATATTAACTCTATTAACACCTGTAGCAGGAGAACAAAGAACTGCTAGCACTGCATGACCACTTATTTCCACTATATGGGGACGTCATTTTCTTCAAAGGTCAAAACCCCCTGAAATTTCAGCAACTCAAATAGCATGAATTGGATTACTGCCAGGAAAAGAACATACTCTGGTCTGTTAATACATAAGTATATGAGGTGGGATTGGGTGAAGTGAACAAGAAAAGATATCTACTTGAGATTTGTTTTTCATTACAGGAACTTCTGGGTCCCACATGGAAGGATTTCACTGCGGTTTTACTTACTCATGCAGACAAGGCCAAAGAAGCTGGATTCAGTGAGGAAGCGTATTTGCACAGTGTCTCAAGTACCCTGTTGTCCCTGTTGAGCTCAGTGCAGCATAAATATGTCTTTCTAGACAACCAGAAGAGCAAAATTAAAGAGGAAAGAGCTATTGTCTTACAAAAGCTCTTGAATTTTATAAGACAGAATAAATATCAAGTGCTTCTATTTAAACATAACAAAGAATAAAATTAGCTTTCAGGTACTCGTGTCTATTTTCTATAGTTTACAACATTTAATGGAAATAAAACAGTAGAAAAGCCAGCAATTGGAACATTCCACACCCAAAACCATTCTATACCAAATATCTTTGAACACATGGTTGGAAATATCTCTTTAGATTCCCAAACCACATGCCTTTCACAGAGTAGTACCTCATGCTACTGGATCCAGAATCCTAGCTTCAACCACACCATCAGACCAAACTAGTGCTAATTTGTTATATATGTAAATGTAACTAATATACTAATAGTGCTAATACCTAACATGCACACAGTGAGGAGTAAGATTTTATGCTGCATCTGATTGTATATTGCAGATAAAACACAGAGCTGGAGAAAAAGAAAGCATATAATAATGCATGAGTTCAGGCTGTAAGGAATGAAGGAACTTTTCTGCTCAATTTTTGGAGCTTTCATAAGTTCCTCTGAAATCTGCTGTTTGTAAAAAGTTTTCCAGTATTAAAAATTAAATTTATCTACTGCAAAGTTGTTTCCTTACCTTGATTCAAGAATAATTAAAACTGAGATTTTCAACTTCAAGAATATCGTTTAATAAGATATTATCAGATATGTAGTTTACAAAGCAGTTAAAATAGTTCCCACATGCCTAATGCTATTCAGCACATTTAAAATGTGCTAATTACTACCGCTGATTCCCAGATGCATAGAAAACGAGCACAGTTAAGTGTATAGGCACATACAAAACGCATCCAAAAAGAAACCTGTTCATCTTTTCTTTTGTGCCTGCTCCTTTCAATTTTCTATCATCATCATTTTGTTTTCGTCTCCCAGCTTACGGGATGAAGTTCAAAGCCTGTGAAATTCAGGTTGGATAAGTTTGTTTTTTATTTCAGTGGTTAGAAAAGTGCTGTTTGAGTAGTTAGGCTGTAGACAGGTAATTAAATAGTATATGCTCAAACATGTAATTACCTCTAAATAGTTGCTTAAAGGGTTTTATTGTGAATTGATCTAAGATGGTTACTTCAGTGTACTGCAAGGCAAGAATTAAAAGGAGTAAATTGAGGATTTTCCCATAGCCATTGTGACTGCTCTTAATGTATTATGGAGTAATTCAAACGGTGAAACCTGAAGAAGAATAGCTATTACTATTAAAACCAAGCCATATTCTGCATAAAATATTACTCAAAGATACATTAAAACAATAAAAATACATTTTATATGTGTTTCATGCATTGGAAAGCTTTTTTTTTTTAGGGGGGGTATTTGACTAACATCGTTTGGCCATCTATTAGCTATTTATTCTTTTGTAGTATTATCTGTCATTTGGCACTATTGAATTGGAAAAGATGAGCTAATATAGTAAAACAACATATTTTATGTATGCCAATGTGTTTGTATTAGGGCATAACAGGACATAGTTTTATATTCCCATTACAACTGCCCACAGACAGCTCAGATGACACATCCAAAACCAAAATTTGCAGAAGTTTATAATATATATGAAAAATGCTTGAGAGAAGTGAAACCTCTGAAAGACAACAAGAAGAATGAAACTAATTATGGTCTTCACTGACCAACTGCTCACGCTGTACCTTTCTAATTGACCACCTTGTGTTACCACACAAGGAACATGGCTGAAAGTTTTCCTTATTGAGATGTTCGTGCTTCATGGATCCTCTAAAACTTTCAGCTGTCTAGAAAAGATGCTTGCCAGCCTTTAGTTATACCATGAACAAGCTTTGGCAATTAAGTCTTGAACATTGTGTGGTTACTGACTGCTGAGAACACAACCTCAAGGACAGTAAATATGGAGAATGAGTGAATTGTTAAAGTATTACAGACAGAACATTCTGTATCTCTGGAAGAGGAATCAAACAAAAAACATATTAGCCATGCATTTCAGAGGGGTTATACATTGACGTTTTTATTGTGCTCTCGTTACTTTCCATTTCAACATCTGAACAGGCTAATAACCACTTATTTAATTCCGCTGTTTGCCATGGTCTCTGCCCTGCAAACACCTTTCCCTTTCACTTCAAATGGAACTCCTTTGTATGTAGCAACACACTGGTCATTGGTATGAAGATCAGGTTGGATTTGCTCCCACATCTTCTTCTTGGGATTAAGTTCCTTCTCGGGATCTCCTGTTTCAAAACAAAGAATAAAACTAATAGCACACAATACAGAAGACAGAGCAAGAGATCTATTTATGCACATGTGCATAAATATGCATTTGTGAAAGCTCACATGGTATCTGTGTAAAAACTTTTAAGGGAAAAAAATATTACCTGCGAGTCTCAAAATGGAAACTTTAATCTTAATTAGGGACTGTCTAGGAAATGCCTCCAGATCCTCTCTCAAAATGCTGGGCTTTCAGGGAAAAAAGCATCAGTAACAGACTACTACTACGTCAAAAACGAAGAAATCTATTTAGATAGAAAATAGAAAACTATTGCTGGTTGTTAGTTTACAAACATTACCTAAAAGCAAAAGGATTTCTAAGAATTAAGTAGATGTGGACCACACGACGCAGCTTATGTATCTTAAGAATTACTGAATTTTTAGAAATTTATTTTGCGTTTACAGGTGAGAAATGTTGAACATAGACAAGAATAGTCTAAAACTAGGATACTGACCTATAATTTTAGCCCCAAATTTCAACCATTTTCTGTTACTTTTTGTACCATTTAGGGATCAGCTCCAGTGCATAAAATAATAGTAGCATTAAGGGCCAACTTGTATCTCAGCAATTTTGGCCTCAGTCTCTTTAAATCACCTGTTTCCAGGTGTATACCATGGTAAACTATTGATCAGGTGAAATACTGACAGGGGGACAGCCTAACTACATTAGGAAATCTATTTAAAAATTTCTAATGACTACAGAAAAATGTTCTTTTAGCAATATTTTGCAATACAAACTCATTACTCAGAAAAGCAAAGTGTTCCAGAGTCAAATATTTCTTCCTGTTTTTTTAGTAAATGGGCATAAAATCCAAAATATAGGAACGAAACAACTACAGTAAATAAGATCCCCTGCGGTAAATATTTATACTGAAAAAACTGCTGCCTGCCAATATAATCTAGATTAAGCAAGACAACCAATTTTCCAACCAAAGGTCAAGCAAATTTCATTTCTGAATCTTAATATGATACAGATCCTTCTACACAAAAACATTATTTCATTTTAAGAAGTTATTTAATGATAATGCTGTTGGGTACTCTTAACCTCTTGTGTGTAACACACAAGCAGGAAAAAGGAAAACCCCAAGACTTGTTTCAGATATGATCAGAACATATTTAAAGGTGGTGGCTGAAGGTGGTGGCATACTATCTGTAACCTGATGATACTGTGCATGTATTTTTACTTGCTAAAAGCTAGGTGTGCAATGTCGGAATCATTCGGCCCATATAACTGAAACCTCTAAAGAAAACAAGACTCAAACAACACATCCTGGCAAACGGATCTTCCCTGAGATCCTCTCAGGGGAGCAAGAAGTTCTTAAACGCAAAATGAAAAGTTCTCTATGTGAGCAGGATGTAAAGTACTCACATCTTCCACTACTCAATGTCCCCAAAAGCTCAGGAACCAAAAAAAAACACCTGTAGGTTTATAGCACAAGCTACGTTTCTAGTAGTTGGATGAGTTATTACTGCTTGGTGTATTCTTGACTGACTGACCAGCGTGAGTAAGTGAACATTCCAACCTGCCTTATTTTCTTCTTTAAATGTTTTCAGTAATTCAGTCTACTCACATTCTCAGTTCTTGCAATATTAAGTTATTTCAGCCTGTAGACATGCCTAACTTCTGTAGCTTCTACATCTGCAACTGTGCATGAGAAGCGTACCGGGCCAGACTTCTGTGTTAAGCAGGCTAGGGTTGCCAGAGCAGCATTCAGTAACGCAGTCAAGTTATTTCACAACTGCAGTGTACTTAATATTTAAAAGAAAAACAGCAATACTATTAATAACCTAATCACTCGGAGCCAATTGTGCATTTTCAAAGAAACTGAAATCCTACTCAATACTTAAGTTCACAGAGACAGACTTGGATTTAGACCAAGTGAATGCATACAAATTAATAAAATCATTAAACAGAATGTTAAATGATCCATTGTGCATGTCTTCCCCCCTCCTCAAACATAAAAAGCAAGTGATTTTTTTTTACCCAGTAAGAACAAAACCTGACTTTTATTATAAAAAACACATTTTGGATGCTAATAAGTTTCTTTTCAATCCCATTTCAACTCTCTTGGGATCTGTGGTGAACTCAGATTAGCATAGGCACCAATTTTAAATACTACCAGAGTTTTAAGCTGTGTATTTTCCTAAGCTTTCCCCTCATCACATTTTTCCCTCAGAAAATATTCTTTAGAAGGACATTTAAAAATGAATTCAAACTTGTAGTGGTTTAACGAGCTTCCCAGTCTACATAAAAAGAAACAAATAAAAGGTCCCAAATTTTGTTAAATATGTAATTTGGTCTAATAGTTTAAGTATTACAGAAGAAATTCTCATAATAGGCAAGAAACGTCTCCACTCTGTAACAACTCAGTAACTACGAAAAGACTTTATGAAAAGCTGATACCACAATGCCCACCATGGAATATAACTACGCAACTGAAGGAAAGCACCCATACACCAAAGCTTTGATTAAAGAAATCTGTTAAATACAGACCAACCACTGCACTGCAGTCTTAGCATTTTCTTGCTTTGAAGAGCTAGGTATTGACCAAAAGACCAAAATGACAAAGATTCTTAAACCAGAACTAGCATTAAATCAAATAATTTACATAATAGACTTGTGGTTCCTGTGGCATTTTCGCATTTTAGAATTTTGTCATGACATTAATTAGACTGCTACTAGAAAGAAGGTTTCTCAGTTAGCTATGAAAACTCCAGTTAATTGTTGTCTCACAGCAATTACTGTGTGGGAGGGCATATTTACAGACATGTGAAGGAATAATTTTTCTATGGCTTATGAATCAGATCTTTCCCATGAAAGCTGGATATAAATTTGATAAAGTTCTTAATACAAAAAAAGCCCAATATATCTTGAAGATTCATATATTAGAGTACGAGATG